TTTTTTTTTTTTTAAAGTTAACTGGGGATATTGATAATTAGCAAAAAATCTTTTTAACGTAGGTAAAATTTCAAGATTTGCTGCTACTGATATATTCCTTGTTAAGAGGCGCTTAACCAAGGATTACTTAAACACTCAAGTCAAATTACTTTTTGAAACTTACTCGGATAATGGTCGCGGATTAAGCAGAGTTAGGGAGCACCTTTGATTATCATGCGGGTAATCGCTGAAGTCAAACATACATGGTGTCTTTAAAGTAAGCTCAATCTAAAAGCCAAAAAAATTTTCTTCTTCAAATCTGTACTGTTTGAAACAAATAAAACTGTTTTTCTGTTTTCAACCTCTAACTGGATATTTCATTATGTTTAAGAACAAATGGGAAGTAGACAATTGTTGAGAGGAAGTACCTGAACAAATACTGCACCAACGTTAGTTATGGCTATAAGTGTGTTGAAATTTCGCATAATCTGTTCACTTTTTAGCTTTCTGTAAAGTTTCTGCCTCAGATTCGTAACGCAGCGGAGAGTAAAACAATAAAATTTTTAGTGGGGTGGTTAATTTTATACAAAGAATTAGATAAATTTTGCCACCTAAGCCCAATTTTTTTCTACAGTACCCTATAAGCTTACAGTTCAGCAAAATGCAACTGCGGATACCAAATGTATGGCAATTCGTATTTCATACGTACAATCTTCTTCACACCGCCCCAATCTTCAGCTGTCCAGGTAAGACGAGAATCGCTCCAACTCTATAAGGTCCTAATTTTTTTCGTTTGCTCATACGATTACAGCAGATCAGAAGTTACCAATACGTTTGTCTATAACAGTGAAAGAAGCATTTAAAGTTAGCAAATATAGAACAAACGTACCAGAACAAGACTGCAATGCATTTCCATAAGTTGTTCCTCCTGATTCTGCAATCAAGTAAAGAAAAAGTAATGAAAGCAATAACAAAAAGCAAAAGTCAATTAAATTCTATAATAAAAATCATATTAAACAATTACCCTCATTGAAATAAAATTAAAAGATTGGTAGGGAGCAGAGCACAAACTAATGATGGCAGTAGTATTTCCATACAAATTTTATGCTATCTTACACTAATTTCAACACACTGATTGAAGTGAAAATAAAGCAAGAAAAAACGAAGAAACTGGTGGATAAGTTTGCAAAGGAAATAAAAATTTTTTTAAACCAAAGCTTCGATATGTTCCACAAACATCAGCACACTGATTGCAGTTGGTAAGTTACCAGGTTCTGTTGGATCATAGGTACCACTTTCATAAACCTTCCTCAATATTGTTTGTTCATATTCGTACAACGACTGAAAAACTTTTAGCCCAAATGTCCAACATTCAAAATCTCATCATCTCGAACAAAAACTTACGACATTTTTTTCAGCCTGCAGCGAAATATGTAGAAGCGCAAAGTGTAGAACCAAGAACACTACGGAAACCATCCTTTTCTGTTGGAGTTATTTTTAAGCGAGAACAGCGACTATCAGCCGGTCAGTGTGGCAGCAAAAAGTTGCTATTAGAGCCAACATCAAAACTAATTTTTTAATCCTTTAAAATTTAATGCGTAGGTATTGCAGAAATGTTCTCGCGGTAAACGATAAAGTTGCAACATTTGATAAAATTCATGCTTCCGGTTCAATTTCGTACAGATTAAAAAACGTAAAAGATAAAGTTCTTAGCAATTGATTATGCCAAAAGTTTTGAATTAGAAATGAATTTTTAATTATATAATCAAACACCAACATGCTGTTCTGTTGTATATGACACAGTTTCAAGCTAATATCAGACAAGGAAGAAATTTAGCATTACAGTCAATTAACAAAATCGGATGATACGCAATTTATAGTGCAGCAACAAAATGATGCACATAGTAAACCTATCAAGCTGGAAAAAAGTTGACAACGCTACATTTTGCAGCTAATATAGCCGGATTAGTCAAAATTGTTCTTATTTACTATAAAAAAGTGAGTGGTTGAATTTTTGGGTACAAAAATGACCTATGGCGATGATTAAACGTATCAAATTTCGACAACGATACCAGATAACAAATTGTCATAAACAATTTATTTTAACAATTTTAAAGCCGAAAAAAAAGTACCACAAAAAAAAGCGAATGAAATATTAAGCACAACGAATCAACAATATGAATATATTTACAGTCTGCAAGAACAGTAGACAGAATGATTACAAAGTAAATGTGCAGAAAACTTCATCACTTATTACTGTCACCGTAATGTCATCACATAAACAGAAAAATAACAGAGTCAAAAGCAAGTAGGCAAAAAAATTTTTTAGTTTTAGCACAAATGTGTTTTTAAAAACATCTATTTTGCTCAGTAATAAAATTAACTACCAACTTTTCTGATCACTAATTTTTCATTTATTGCAAATGAATGCGCTCGAAATGAACACTTGCGGAAAAAAGTCGTTTAAAAAAAACAAAAAATTTCTTTACTCTTATACAATGTCTTATTTGGTTCATATGCTAAGAATTTAAAAATAGTTTTCCAAACCTGCTTATAGCCTATGTTCCGTAAAGTGCTTTAGTGATCATTACTTTATTAAAGAATACTAATTTGTAGAACATTGAAAACCCTGCATTTTACTGGGTATTCAATGATACGCTACAAAAATCTGGACTCCACAATGGTGTCACCAGTTTACACAGATAGAAAGAAACCGAGTAGCCATAAATTCTTCATTTACTTAATTCTTCTTACTTCTTTATTGATCAAATTATTCTATAGTATTGAATATTGTCTTTTTATTATGCTATCATATCCCCAAAACTTTAACTGATCAAGTCTGCAGTGCAATAAACTAATTTAAATGCAGTTTTTAAGAAGAGTATTATATGTGACAGGTAGAAAGATAAAATGCATTAAATAAACAGGCAGTGGTGAAGCAAAATCTAAAAACAGAAGAATAACCTTTAGCCACTAGTTTTCCTGCTTATCCTTAAAGAGAAAGTCATTACAGAGATGAGGTGTTATGTAGTTTGCCATAGTTTTGCAGTATTTTTAAGTGACAAATGGTAGTTAAAGTATTCATGTTACAACTGCAAATAGAATATTCACCTCTGCATTTGTCTACGGTAATTTCAGATTTTCTTTTTTACTTCCTTTTTCCTTTTCAAAAACCACTGAAGACGATGGTTTCAGCTTTTATACAGTTAGGCAATATCCATATTCTGTTGAACTGCGATTTGACAGGCAATGTATCGGTATTTACGGGAACTCCATGCGAGCAACTGTACCGTATCCAATCAAGGGCCGCCAAAACTACCACAGGAAGGCACAAACTACAATGGTCACTGGTAATGCAATATAGCGCTGTTATGAATTAAAACCAATATTGAACCGAAATAATTTGGCGGAATTTATTGAGTTTAAATTTAAAGTTTTTCACAAGTCATAGGCGCAACAGTGTTCTTATTAACATGTGTCCGCACGTTTCTTGGCTTGAAGTCGAGTAACAGACTGTCCGGTGTAATTGTGTCATTTTCGTATATTTTGTTTGCCTTTCTTGCTGGTTGTTAGCGATGGCTGAGGCAGTAAGTGGCACTGGTTGTGAGAGCAGTGGAATCCGGGAATTTGCATCGATCCAACCTTCATTAGGTCTCTGGATGTATTCTAAAGTTCATTTCTATTGTTTACTTACTTTTCCCAAGCTAGTACTACTTCTTTTATTGCGTTGGGGTAGTTCTAATGGTAACTTAAATCATTGCTTCTTGACTTCCTTAAGGCTTCGAGAAGAGTGAACTCGTTATTGTAGGAAGACTTGTTAAAGTTTCTTTGAGTAAATCAATTAATTTTTTTTACTTTAATTTAGTATCAAGATTGGGGTTGTAAAGAATTGGAATGAGGAACCGATTTCAGTGGTAAACGAATAAGACTGTAGTTTTCTGTTAATTTGAATGAAATATGATCATTCTTAAAAAATTACCGGTATTACGTAGTGAGAAGGTCCAAGAACTGTGCCCATTTGTTCACTACGTTTGCTGGTTTCGAGTTGAGGTTATATTGTTGAAATTTTGAAACTCTGTACTGGCTTAGGCAACTTTTCGTTTTAAAACGTTAAGACCACCGTTTTTACAGAGAACATATCTGACATACTGTCAATTATTGGCGCTAACGCGAACGTTGTTAGGGTTACCAACGACAAGATGGTCAGAAAAGAGTCAGTTTCATATTTAATTGTTTTGAAACGCGTGACATACGTTTTGCAAGCTATACTTTACATTTGCTTAAATGAGACAACCGTAATTATTTGAATTGTAATATTCCGGTTGAATTTAAATTTTTCAGTGAGATTTTTGGGTGTATTGGTTTCGGACCAGTGGATGGTGTTTTTTCCTGCAAAAGAACTGTGGAAGACCATGACTTTATTAATTTAGTAAGCACGAGAAGATTCATTGAGAAATTGAATTTTCAGTTTTGAAATTCTGTTTGTTTGCCATGTCCCAATTTTGCTGCATAAATTTGAGACTGTGTTGTAAGTTTGAAATCCTGTTTTTTCGCTTGCTCTACAGGGGTTAAGTGAGAATGGCCAGATTTCGGCTGCTCTAATAAATATTACATATCCTCTGGCGTTCCGTAGTGAGTCTGGAGAGTGCCTTTGCGATAGCAAGATTGAACTGCTTAGAAGTGCAGTCTTCGCACATGATTTTTTGTCGAGGTAGGTTTTCACTTCTTTTCCGGGTATTTTTATGTTTCCGATTGGTAGTTTCTTTCGCTTTATTTGAAGATTCATCGTTTTTTGTGTTATCACCTTTCCTTTAATTATGGAGTCGAACAGTTTGGCGGTTTTTGACTTTTTTTGAAGGAATCTTAATTGTTCTCAGTGCAGTAATTTTTTGATTTTTTTGGCACAAGGAAAATTGATTTTTGACATTCACTGAATTCTTTCTGATTGAAAGTTGTTCTACGTCAGTATTTTAGAACATTATTTTTGCTTTGTGTCTAGTCTAGCTTGGCTGTTTCTTGTACTAAAGAAGTGTTAAATTTTTTTGCACTTATGAAAACTGGTCTGATTGATTTAGGATAGAAGTGAAAAGAAAAAGTGGTGCCAAAGTTCAATCGTCGCAGTGCTTCGCTCTTATATTTTCTGGAGGGAAGACTTTTCTTTCAACTGGAGGAAAATGTTGGGATGAAACGAGTTTTTTTCAGCAAAATATTTGTATGGACTTTGCGTTTTCTGCTGAATCGCAGTGTTTAATAATACTCATTAGTTCTTCACAGCACCTTTTTCACATTGTTATTTAAATTTTTGTACCAGTTTTACTGAACGTTTCATGTTTACTTGGTTTCCTGTCTTTCCAATTTTGTGAAAAAGTCGTTATCTTTTTTTAATTATGCATTGCACGAAGAATTTTTATTAATCTTTTTTCATTAAGGGTCGTCGGATGAAAACGGGGTTGTTACAGCTAATTTCAAATCGATTTTGAAGAATAACACTTTTAAAAATAGGTTAGATTTTTATTTTTTACGTTGAAAGTGATAAGACTCATATGGTTGAAATTTTTCACTTTCAAGCTTCTTGAATGCTTTTCATGATTGCATGAAAAAATTTAAAGAATAGCTTTTATTGTTTGTTGCGGTGTTTCTAGCTTTTAGACATGGAATTGAAGGTATTTTTTGACTGTGACATTAGTTTTCAGTAATGGCAGGCTGTTGGCTGTGGTGGCAGATGCGAAGCTGCGCATCAAGGAGAAACTGGACCGTTTGCAGGAGGAATATGCTAGGGTAAATTACGCTACAAATTTCATATATTTTTCTACTTGTTTTGCTAGAGCTTTGTTTTAGGATTTACTATAAATCTTGTTGAAATTTTTCAGAAATATGGAAGCTACGACAATGATAGGGAAATGTCTAAAGAGGATTGGGTGAAAACTTTGTCACTTATATTATTTTTAATTTTTTGCGCCTAAAAGTATATTTTTCCTTTTCAGGCTAATGTTAGCGCTTTGAATGCCACAATTTCTGAGGCTGAGTCTTTTGAATTAGTTATTGAGGGTCCTAGAGGACGGCGAGTATGGTTTTAAAATTTCTGTCAAATCACTGTTTGCTGCTTTGTTCTAGACAAGTTTAGATATTTTTTTTCATAAATTTAGACTTCGACACCCACCTTTAGTGGTGATACAAGTATGAAGGTCGAGGACGAAAGGTACGAGCTTTTTGCAAAAATAAAAGCAACCGAGAAGAGGCTCTGGATGGAACAGGAGAAGTAAACTTTCAAATTTGGCTCTCAATATTTGTTTTTCATTTCTTTTAGACCCCAAATTTTTTATTAAATTTTGCTTTGCTTCATTGATGCATTGCAGATTTAAATACTCGATGATTCCTGGTCGTGATGTATCAGAAGCAAGGTTAAAATTTTTCAGACAGGTATAGTTAATTATTACTTTTGCTAGGGATAGGGATTTTCAAACTTGTTATGATGGCTCTTTGTTCTGTTACTGTACGGCCGTTTTCAGTATGCGTCAGGTTCAGTTACACCTAAACGGACTTCGCTCAATCGAACACCTCTTTCATTAAACGCCAAGCATAACCTCGCAGATAGGAAATGTTTATCTACGGGCTGCGGGCGTCGAAAGTCAAAAAGACCTTTAATTGATGAACTAGCTACACCAAGAAGGAGCAAGAGGCGTTTAAAATCATAGCCTTCAGGGTATTGATTGAGTGGATCTTAAGAAACCTTGATTTGACCTTCATGGTTTCAGATTCATTTTCGAAGTCTAAATGTAAATTTAAAAATTTGTGGGAATTTCGTTGAATCGAGCTACTTTTTAGCCTTTACCGCTTCTTCGATCTCCACTTTTTCGTCAGAGAGTCTCCTTCATAACCGCATATTAAATTTGCTTCGTTATTAACAGCATTTGCTAACGATGTATGTACAAATGTAAATCGATTTGAGTCTATCTCATTTTTCATAATTTTTTAGTTGTACAATAATTACCTCTCAAACTAATTGTATACAGTGTGCAGTAAAATAAAAATTTGTCTCTCTTCAATTTATTATTTGTTCTCTTTTTGATTTCCTCTTTTGATGTGTTTACCGGTCTGTTATTTTATGAATCACTAAGCGAGTGATGTAATTTGCAGAAGTTTGAAGCCTGCACTGGTTTGTTGGCGCACAGGGATAACATTTGTTCTCAAAAAAAAAAAAAAAAAAAAACGTAGCTTTGCCGTAAGACTGTTTCAAGTACATTTTGGCTGTGCACGGCAGAGGTCTCCTCGGTACAGCAATACTTTGTAGGTTCAGCGTGCGTTAATTGCCTCGTCCCACCGCATGCTCCTGAAATTAAAGGCTTGGTAACTTTGCAAAGTGCTTGTATGCGCCGAAGTGTTGTCAGGTTTTAAAAGTGAAGGTGGGGAATTAAACTAAGTGCATTCATGCAGTGCTGTTACGGAGATTTGGTTATTAAAGAGCTACCAAGGATTTTTGGGTGCGTCCTCGGAGAGCGGAAGTGGAAGAATGCTTTTCTATGTTCTATTCGCGTGGCATTTTTGAGTGTGCCTACAGCAACCGTTTTTTATTTCCTTAGTAGTAATTCATTTTGATCTTGGAGGGCGGGACTCACATTGTAGTCGTGCGGTATGATTCCTATATTGGATGAATAGATACCGGAAATTTTCAGCTTAGGTTAGGGAAATTGTATGTCTCTACAGACAGTTTGACCAAACGCTGATGAGTTTCCCCTGCTGTGTTCGTCTACTGTTCTTCAAACGGGCTTTTGCTGCTGCTTCTGTTACTACCTTTTGCTTGATGATTTAACAGGCTGTTTTGTAGGGAACAGCAGTATTAAGTGAGGTCAAAAAATTTTATTGGAGACAAACTGAGGGGGTTGTGACTACAGTTAAAAAACTAAACAACCAATTAATTAGAAAAGGAGAAAGAAGAAGTTTTTAAGTGTTGGAAATTGATAAAATAATTGCTTCGTTTATAAATCTGACGCTTCTTAATTTTTGTTTGTTAGAACGATTCACTTTGCTGTATTTCTTCAGAATGGAATAATATAAAATTTTTTGTTATTTTACCAAATTTCATAGCTGTTCAGCACTTTTTTGGCTATTTTTTATCGCCTAAATCGTTTAGATTGCCACAGTGTTTTCAAGTCTAAGACGGAGGAGAAATTATGCGTAACTAAAGTAGTTAAAATTTTGTTAAAGCAAAATTAAAATCATAAAATGTATACGGAAATGCTTTATGGTGCATAAATTGTTTAAAACTTCAGATATTTACAAAGCACAGAAAAATTATCTTTTTAGTAGAACAGATAATTCAAAACTGTCAACCTGTGCATCTGTTTTCACTGTAATGCTTGAAATTAAATCTATACTGACACAGTTTTGTAAAAACTGCTTGAATAGCAGGTTTAAAAGGAAAAATAATTCAAAAATTTGACAAGTGGTTTATTGCCGTTATTGGTAAGACAAAATAATCGGCTGACCAGAATTATATGAAATTATATATGAAACCAGAATTCAAAGTTGCAGACAGCACATTAATCTGACAACTTTTTAACGTGTAATATTTAAACAAATTAATAATGCTGTCGTTCTATTCTGTTCTGTTTTCTTTGTCTATATTTTCTAATTTAATTTACACATTTTGTTTTCTTCTTTTTTTTTTTTTACTTTTTGCTTTTTATAACTATCAATTAAATTTGCTATTGTTCTGCGAGACAAGAACGAATACGATCAGAAAAAAAGAAACAGGAGCATATTTTGTGAGCTAATTTTTAGTGAGTACAACAAATACAGTTAGCGGTATTTACTTTTGAAGTTTACAATGATTAGTTTTTTTGTCAAAAAGATTATACGGAAAAGTTTTATGATATTTATTTACAATAACTGAAAATAAATTGAAAGCAGAAAAAATTGATGAATTGTTCGATGGAATTTAACAAATTGCAAAAGGTATGAACAGCGCAACATTTTTACCAGTAAAATTGTCATCAAAAATTTGATGGATAACTTTGTGGAAACAGCAGTACTGTTGTAAACTGTTCCGCACCGCTTTTGACTTGTAATGGAGAGCTCTTGAGCTGTTAACTAGGAAATTTTTCTTTTTTCCTTTTAATAACTATCAACGATGGACGATTGTTTAAGAGAAGCAGCTGTATCTTTGCTATTATAAGCATACGTTGAACTGTTGTTGAATTTGAATAGCTTTTGAGTATTGAACTGTAAAACCCATTCACATCCACTGAAATTGAACTGATTTTGAAGCAGGAAAATTGTTTTTCATTCACAGTTTCATATGTACACTCTCATTAAGCCGGTAAGGTATGTAGTGTATGAATAAATTAAAAACTCTATTTATTACTATTAATCATGTATGTATTTAGCAAAATTTAGCTAAAAAAACAAAACGAAGAATTTTGTGACGACGGGAAAAAATCGAATTGAAGCTTCTTCTTTTGCACTATTTCTTTGAATTTTTCAGACAATAGGCTCAAAAAGGTGTTTTTCTTTTTTGTCACTTGTAAAGCCTAATATCTTCAACAGTCATCATTAAAGAGAAACTTGTTTTGAATTTATACCACGTAAATTATTACTGAAAGTAACTGCATTATTGTTAAATACTAAGGAATTTTACAAATATTTCTGTGCATTTATTGATAATTACTTTATTCGATACAGCGCGATAGTGAATCTCTTTAAGGTGTATTTGCAGCAGTAGCAACAGAATATGACAGTTATCAGTAGCAACAGGAACACTAACAACAAAGACAGTAACGGCAACAACAATGAGAACAATGAAAAAACAGAATCTGAAAAATTAATAAATAGAAAATACAAAATAAAAAGTAAAAGATAAAAATGAAGTGAACAATATCATAACAGTTTGAGAATCAGTAGTTTTTTAAACATACAGCTAATCTGATTGCAAAAAATATAACACTGTAAACTTATTTTTTACCACCAGGAAAGCTTAAGAGGGAATTGCATAACCACTGCTGAAATAACAACTGCTTTTTTCATTTTTTTATTAATTTCTATGTTAAATAGTCAAAAAGGCATAACACAGTGAAGTTATGTGTGTCAAATGCAAAAGAAAAAAAGTTTTTTTGTCTTATTTTTATAAAAGTGATAAATTGTAAACAAAACTGCAAAAAGAGCAGTTTTGATAAGAAGAACAATTTAAAGTTTTTTGCTGTGGTAGTTTTTTGCTCGGAAATTCTAAAAAACTTATTTTTTAGTTGAGTAAAAACAGGTAAACATTGAACTGAATCATAAACTACAAAGAAGAATCTAAGTGCTGAGAGCTCGTTTTGGTAACAACATTGAAAATTTACCAGGAATGTTTTATAAAGAACTTAACAAAAAAAAAATCATTAAACTTGTTTACAGCATCAACTACCAGAATTGGACATCGCTTAATAAATGAGAGATTGGAATCGTTGGCGGTAGCACGTTGTTACTGTAGTGACGTAGTGAATGTACATTCCCTGGTGGATCATATTTGATGACCACGTAAATAGCAGTAGCTGGAAAATTTGGCATACATGGATTACCATGATTGCCACTAGAATATGCTATAGCAACACCGATTCCAAGTTTCTTTGTGCTTCTCCAGACTAGTTGCGTGAAATGACCTCTGGTATGATAATCCAAGTTTTCATGGCTGCAAAAGTATGGAATAAACATAGTTACTTTTCATTGGTCTTCTAAGAAAAAAAAAGACTTTCAGTCTATATTCTAGTTCTATATTCTAGTGTAAAAGAAAAAAAATTTATAGTTACTTGAATAGAAAAGCTAAAATACTGCTGAAAATTAATCGCTATTCATTAAACTTACTTATTATAGTTGTAGTCTTTTGACTCAATGAAAAAACTATGAACAGTCATTTTTGCAAGAACTGTTTCACTTGGTAAAACTGTTGCCGCGTAAAAGAAGATATTCTCACCAAACCTGTAACCGTGAGTAATTTTTAGTACAGCTTTTCTATAAAGTTTTATTTAGCCGATGTTAATAGTCTAAAATTAGATTGTGGACTAGTTGCTTACCGCTTAGCTGGATCGTGACTGATACATGACAGTGTACTGGCCAAATGATTAGCCCAATATTGTGCATGTAATGCTGCATAATCGTCGTGAACAAGCGGATAAGCATCGTGTACTTTACGATAAACATTATGATACATAACCGTCTAAACAAGTTGTCCATTGAAAGCATTAAAGCTTATACAGAATACTTCTGTTTTAAGAAAAATATCTTCTTCTGTTAAA